CGCTCTTAGGTTGGAGGCCGTCGAAGGCAGGTTACAAGGGCCATCGCTAGTAGGTCGGTGACAAGAAACGAAACTGCAAAACCATCAAATTAAGTTGGAGGCCCTCGCTCTTAGGTTGGAGGCCGTCGAAGGCAAGTTAAGGGGCCATTGCTAGTAGGTTGGTGACAAGAAACGGAACTGCAAAACTGTCAAAATTGGAGGCCCTCGCTCTTAGGTTGGAGGGCGTCGAAGGCAGGTTAAGGGGCCATCGCTAGTAGGCTAGGGACAAGAATCTGCAAAGATGAATAAAAAACTGTGATCCCCTGCTCTCGAAAGTGGATAAAAGTCAAAGAAGCTCATCAACGGCATGTCAGAGTGGGTTACACACACACACACCACACAAGGCCCTCCCCGTGGAGGGCTTAGACTTCATGAGTAGCCCTATGCGCAACAGTGTCTTCTCTGCCTGTAGTGTCCCGAAAATCGAACCGGTTTGCGCCGAATAAGCTCCAAGCCAATGGGTCTGATTAGCATCCTTAGTTTGAAAAACCTCGGAACTGAGTGCCTTAGTTCGATCAGCATGACATCCAATTGCCAGTGTGTGTCATGACCTTGTGACATCTTGACTGAAAACCGGTGCGCCTCATAAAGTAACGTAACAGCAAAACAACAAAACCGTGAAGTTGGAGGCCCTCGCTCTTAGGTTGGAAGCTGTCGAAGGCAAGTGAAGGGGCCATCGCTAGTAGGTTTGCGACAAGAAATAAAACTGCAAAACTGCAAAACCGTGAAAGTTGGAGGCCTTCGCTCTTAGGTTGGGGGCCGTCGAAGGCAAGTTAAGGGGCCATCGCTAGTAGGTTGGTGACAAGAAACGAAACTGCAAAACGGCAAAACCATCAAACTAAGTTGGAGGCCCTTGCTCTTAGGTTGGAGGCCGTCAAAGACAGGTTAAGGGGCCAACTCTAGTAGGTTAGTGACAAGAAACTGCAAAGATGAGTAAAAACGACCACCAGAGGTCCATGAAGAAGGAGGCCAAGCAACCATGTTGAGGGGCCCAACTGAATCAACTCAAAAGGTTGGGACGGCGTAGTTTCCCAAAGCTCAAATCAAATCGACTTCTGCCGCTTTGCAACTGCGCTCGATGGCAGCTTCTGCCGCTTTGCAACTGCGCTTGATTGCAGCTAAGAACAGTCTGTCTGAAGACTGTGTTTTCCGCTCGTGAGCAACTATACTATCCAACACCACATTGGTGTGCAAGATTCTGGAACCTCCAAAATGAGGACCAATGTCTGCTCGCGGGAAGGCCCGTGCCGACTATAGAGTCCCACGAAGGGTCTCGACGGTGTCGCCAATTCTGGCATGCCCTCTACACACTGGGGAATGAGTCTTGAAGTTGGAACGTTAGGGTGATGACAAAGCCCAGAACCTCCTAAGTGTGTGTCCTTAAACATTTTTGAAAAACCAAGCAAAGTCGGCGACACGAACGATCACCGGCAAGTTAAAAAGGTGATGCAGGTACGTCAGCAAGCGTCCGGCATCCCCCTGCTCTCCAAAGTCGATAAATGTCAAAGAGGCTCGTCAACCGCCACACACACACACCGCCTCCAACCAGCTGAGATATTGCAGCAAGGTTCCAGCATCTGGAGACTCCTTGGCCGTTAACAGCTGACTGGACCTAGTAGAAGCACCAGTAGAACTGCTAGAAGCCCTAGTAGAAACTCTGGTAGAAACTCAGTAGAAATGCCATAGAAGCCCTAGTCGACTAGTAGAACCCCTAGTAGAACGTCAGGTGGAAGCCGTAGTAGAAAGTGCTGCTACCACTACTACTACTACTACTACTACTACTACTACTCACAGGCACACGGGTGCACGGGCACACACGGACATACGGGCACGCAGGGGCATACGGGCGCGTCACAAGTGAGCCAACAGCCCCGCGTCACAAGTGAGACCGAAATCCGCGTCACAAGTGAGCCCCTTTCCGTCTTTGGGGTCAGTTTTGGCGTGCAATTAGATGGTGGAAAGGTGTGGCGGAGGAGATTGCCACTGTCCAGGGCCTAACGTTGGGCACCTCTGCTTGTGGGCTTCCGAAGGCAACGTTCCAGGCGATGTTAGGCATTCTGGCTCGTCACGGCTCACCCCGTCAGGACAATTTAACACATAGGTCACGATGGCAAAGCTTCTTGACAAGCAGTGCGCTTGCCATTTGATGCTATTTGTATGACTGAGGACAAGCGGACACACACTGTAGCAGGCCAAGACCTAGGTCCATAAGCTGAGGGTTGTCCAACAAAGCTCTGAAAAACACCGGGTTTCCTTTCGCGCATTGTGATGAGCTTATTCCATTGCACTGAGTTCACAAATGTTCACAGCGTTTGGGATATCTAAATACTTTTGGTGCGCTGAGAAGCAGGCTGCCCTGTGTCAATCCACGGGCTCCCCAAAATTAAAGTTCCAAGTATGCAAGCTTTATTCTAGCCCAGAACTTATTCACTCCTGATCTCCTCCGGAGAATCTTGTTCGTCGAAAAACGACAGCTTGCTCCTGGAAAAGAGGGGTCGGCGGCACCAGGGCGTCAGCCCTTATAACAACTAACAACAAAACAACAGCCATAACAACATCGCATTCAACGCATCTCCACTAAACGCATCGAAATCACAACATCGCGCCGCATAAATTCCAACAACCCGCGGGGCCCATTGAACGCAAGCGCGTGCTGAAATGTCAAGCGCCGCATTGTGACACCAAGCATGATCAAACATTGACGGTCCCCACAATTTACGAACTTCTGCCTATTAGACGGACCTTCGTCAAGATCCAGTCTGTCAAAAAGAGGCAAGGGACCCGGAATTTGGCGTTGAGGTCTTGCCGGATCATTGATGCCGTCTGTGAAGTCAGCCCCAAATCCTCAAGTGGATCTCCCTCGCTGAAATCATTGATGTCTAGCTTCGACTTGACAACCTTCGCCACTTGTTCCTTGACAAATTCCTCCTGGCCAAGGTCTTCTATTGCTGTCACGGACTCTTGACTTTCTGAAGCTGAGCACAATCTAACCAAAGGTGGCTAGCCTTCCAGACAATCAATACCCACAAGGATACAAAAACACGACTGCATAGCGTCTCGCATATGGTCTTGTTCTTGCTTGGCCTTTTTGACTTAAGTAAACTTAAGTCCGAAATATTGGAATCGATGATGTCGGTGTCGAATTCCCTTTTGCGCGCTTTGGCTGCCATCCCCTCTTGTGGGCTTGTTCATGTCCACCTAGTAAAGGCCCGCCTCGCATATGGATACTTCCCCCAAAAAATCATGCAGTGTTTCTACTTTGCCGAGCGTTGGCCACGGATTTTTGCGACATTGTATTTATTGGAACTAGGCATTGGCCGAAAGGAAGCAGGAATCAGAACACGTTCCTTGATTGGAAGTGGGAACCGGTGAGAGGAACATGAAAGGGAATCAAGCAAATCTTCCGATTGGAGATTCTGGTAGTAGGAAGCTCTTGCCCTTTGTGTTGTTTCGGCGCGACCCTTGATATGATATCACAAAAGCTGTGGTGAGGAAAGTTTGCCAAAATGTTGGGGGATTTGGCTGATTCCCTTCCCACCTTTCGTCACGAGAACAGAAACAAAAAAGGCGCACTGGAAAACCAATAATTCAGGAAACAAATCACATGTCTCAAATCCAGGCACCAAGAAACCCTCATCTCAATTCATGTCCTCTTCTCAAACAAGGGTTTCCCGCGCAACAAGAGAAAACACTTGCTCACCAGTCAGCTGTCACGGGTAAACTGACAACTTGGGAAACCTTGTCAGGGTTGGGCCGAAAAACCGATGACGCGCTGCACTCATGTCCTTGTCTTCTGCGCTCATGATGCCGAGCCTTTGCCGCAAATCTCCCGCATCCTCCAAGAGGTTTCTGAGATCTTGAAACTCCTCTCTTGTCATCAAACCCCGCAAGCGGCTCAAATTGCCCCGCTTTTCCATGTTGAGCACCAAGTGGGGAAAGGCCTTCAGGGAAGAGAGGGTGACTTCAGCCCTCGCAAGAAATGGCAAGGTTGAACATCGAACCGATACGCTTTCTTTGCGACAGCTTTGCCTGAAAATAACTCCTGGTATCGGCTTTGCAGGAAAAGGCCAAAGAGTTGCGCCCCGACATCAGCAATCGTCCTATAGCCAAACAAACCTTGTCTGAGGACACCGGCGCAATGCCACGGCGTTGCCAATCACGAATGATCTGTGGATGGTCAGCAGCAAAACCAACATCGGAGACCACTCCAACGTTCATGTAACCTTGTGCAACGAAATCAACTAAAGGTTGCCTTTGCAAATCGTCTTTTCTGGTGTCAATGGCACACGCGCCTGTGTTTCAAGACAAGCCTTGCTTGGCAATGTACATGTTCCAAGTTTAACAAAAATTGGGGTTTCAAACCAAGATGCCACAAATTGTTTTTACAGCAAACGTGCTGCAAGAACATCTTCCTTTAACATTCACTCACCGAGTCAAAACAACATGATTTCATGTGAACGTGAACATTTTTCGTATATTATGTTTGATCTAGCCAGGACACAGCCCCGCAGACCTTTAGCGCGCCGGTGTTGCATCAAGCCTTGAACATACCCATTGGCCATGACATAGCCCGCTTGAGAATGGCTTCCAAAGAGGGTCGCGATGCTGGAAATTGCCAGAAAATCAATGTTGCGATCTAGGTTCAGATTCCTGAGCCACGCATAGAGACCGAATCGCATCCCGAAGATTCCCAAAGGCCAGTTGCACAATGCGCACCACGGTCTGAATGATTGCAATGGTATTCCAACCACTGATGGGAAACAACACCCGCAGTTTAAGTATGTCGAGGTCTAGGATTCATCCACCGTGCTTTGGCTTCTACTTTACATCAACGAACGCTTCAAGACCGGATCGAAGCTCTATAGTAGATGGCAGCTCGCGGGAGCAAACTCTAAGAAGAAGAGTTACATTCTGAGCGAAGGCTGGGGATGGATCACAGCCAAAAGACCCAAGGCAAAACATTCAGGGGTTCACGGCCCCCTGCGCGAGTATGGCGCCGCAGCGGGTGAATCTGGGATTAGAGTTGCCACTGAGAATACCCGGTTGTACTGAAACCCAGGTCAGTACAGGATATTTTCCCGGGACTGACCCTGTCTCAGCCAGGATAGGTGGATAAATTTGAAGGCTAGAGGGTCAAGATAAAACCAAAAAACAACAAGTCACTGACCTATGCAAATAGATAATTTTAAGAAGGCCTGAGGTTAGCAAACTTGACGAATAGGATCGACAAAACCACTCCTCAAAAGTAGATGCTAATCGACGAACGAGGCAAAAAACAATCCCAGGCTCAGGTTTTTTTTCTAACGCTCTGTTTGCTCTGTGGTGGTCTGGCGTCTGAGAAAACTAAGGATTGTTGCAAACGTCTGCAAACCTTAGAAGGTTGGTTTGCTTTTGGGCAGGTTCTGTATTTTTCTGCTGCGTTGCATATTTTGCCTGCAGGTCGAAGACTTGTACAAAAAGTGCAAAATCAAATTTTCCAAAGAGATGTTCATGGGGACAGCTGCTGTGAAGCCCAAGCGGGTGGATCAGCGCCAGCAGGACACTGTTTTTCTCTCCACATTTTCAGGTGGCCAGTGCAAACACGTGAATTGTTGAAGCAACTCAACTCAACCACCAATTCCATTCTCAAGGAACTCCCAGACATGGAAGCAAAGAGAACTTGCCAGTACCATATTTGCACATGATTCTGGGTTGCTGGGTCGTCAACAAAATACCAAGAAGGACCACGTTGTGCTTTCAAACATTTTCGGGTAAATTTGTTTCCTCAACTGTGGCAGGAAAAACCGTTTGATCCTGATGGACTTCCTCCAGGAGACATTGTGGAAAAATCCACGGTCTGAGGTTTGTTGCTACAAAAATAATGACAATCTGTGAAATTATGAAAAATCTGTATGAAACGTTTCATTTTTTCAAAGCGCCTGGTGGGAACATGAATGACACCTGGACAAATTTCCATGCCACAGAGGGTCCCACCCCCAAGAGCACAGGTAACCCCAGGTAACGAGCGAAATGCCAGATGAAAAAACGGACACGCAAGTTTCAGCTAGGCTCAGCAGGATCCAAGAAGAGTCGCCATCGTCTGCGATCATGTTTCGTCTCCCTTCTCCCTTCTCTCTTTTGTTTTCTTGATTTCTTTGTTCAATCTGGTTTCTTTCATTCTTCTCTTTAACCTATCTCTTCTTTATCTTTTCTATCCTTTTCTACTCCCACTACCGAGTGGATAAAAGTCTAGGAAATGTAGTGCGTTAATTCTGGATATTTTTGATGCGCTGACCCTAAAATATCCACCCCAAAACAATTATCCACTCCTTACTTGGGTGGATTCTTTTGGAGGATAGACCCCCTGGATAGGTTGCTGGCAGGCTGGCGCACAAATAAAGTCCAGGCACTGACCCCACCAATTTTGTCCACTCAGTACCCCCTATACTGAGACTGGTGCAATAGTCTGTTTTCACCTCTGATGTCGTCGGCGCTGTTTTCACCGATATGGGGCCGAGGATGCTATGCCTGTGGGGATCAATTGGAGTGGTACATGTCTACTGAATGGAGTTGTGCCAAAGGACAAACAAAGGCCACCTACGGCCTATCGCGCCTCGCGCCGTTTTGCTCAGCTCATCGAGATCTGGAGCCCGTCCTTCGTGGGAGAAATGGCCACAAGCAACCCTGAAAGCACATCCCCCCACGCACACAAATTTTTGCTTTTTTCTCAGTCGAAGGAATTGTACCTCACCGGCGGCTCGTCAGCATCCCATGGCCAGTTGATCTTCACGGCCAGCTCCTTCGGGGCATTGATGAAGGCGATCATGGCCTTTCATCTTGCGGATCTGCAGCCCGCTTGTTGACTTTGCGACCTGAATCGTAGCCCTTATAGGCAAGGCACTCATGTTGCGGGTCATTGAGTCGAAGATCCCGCGGGAGTCCATCACCAAAGCGCCAGGCACTGCCTTCACGGTATCATGGATGTCCTCTCTTGGGGACCACTCGTCAGCACCTCAGCACCGTGTCCTCTTGTACAGGGTCTCGATAGTTCCACGGCTGATCCGGTCGCGGAGGATCGTCAGGAAGCCCCGCTACCATGAGCGGAGTCCTACCAAAGGAAAAACAAAGGCCACGTATGGCCTATCGCGCGTCGCGCCATTCCTCTCGGCTCATCGAGATCTCGAGCGTGCCCTTTGCGGGAGGAAAGGTCAAAAGCAACCCTGAAAGCAGATCTACGTACTGACGTGGTCCATGCATCGAAAGAGGTGAGAAAGAAATGTCATTATATATAATATATATATATATATACGTGAACCCTGAAGCAGTCGCCAACGCTGAACAAATCGTAGATAGAAAATCTAGCTCCGTGAGAAGTCACGCAACTAACTATGCTTGTTCAGGCTTCGACAAGCGGAAGTGAAGTAGCATCAAACGATTTCTTACGATTGTATACCGGCATGGCGCATGTGAGTGTTGATAATTGTTCTTTCTTCGGGAGATAATTCCCGATATCGTGCTTTATCGTGCTCGGGAGCACGGTGCTGACTGTTGGGCCTCCTGGCACCGCTTGAGAATGTTTGTAAGCTTGTAACGTCTGAAACATTTGGCAACCAGGGTCGCCGAGAGAAACCTCCCACATGCGAGTTGTCAAAGCTCAGCAACTTCAAGCTCGTCACTCCTTGCTTGGCGCAAGTAGACATGAGATTGTGTTTCATCAATTTCTGTATGGCTGCCACCACACGACGAGCACCTTTCTTTCCGCAGCATCCGTGCTTGTGGTGGCAAATATTCTACCTGCATATTTGTGATCAAGGCGCGCCGGGAGAACGTGTTTGAAGTACGCAACAAATGAACCAGCCAACTCGCACCACGTCATACCAAGGTGAAAGGAGCTGGCTGGATTCGGTTGATTCGCCTGTGACCGACATAGCTTTAGTTGTTGTAGATATGACCGCGCTGTTGGCCGCATGGGGAGTCCACTGCAAGAATGTAAAGCAGGCGAGGGTGACACGCTTGCTAAAATGGATAGTAAACTTCGGAAATCACAGAACATTTGCTGGTAGGGGTGGTGCGTTTCTGCTGCTGGCATGCTGGTGGCTGGCTGGCTAGATGTTATACTGACCGGTGCGCCTGCTGCCAGTCAAGTGGCACTTTGCGCAGCTCGAAAGCTGTTTTTAAAGCTTCTGGCTGTTGGTGACAGAAAGCTTCTCAGGTTGCTCTTCGCGCGTACTGCGCAATTGGATCATTTTGGAACACGTAAAGTGGATCAGTTTGGAACGCAGATTCAGCAAAAAGTGTACGAAACCGCACTTCGCGGATCATTTTGGGAACACAGACCCACTCCCACTCCTATCCTAGTTCAGCACAATTTTACCTTTGGGTGGGCACAAAGGGCTGCACCGTTGGAATGGCACCTTCCTCTCCTCCATCTTACCCTCGGGTTGTTCACAAAAAGTCTGCTACATTTGAGTGGCACCTTCCTCGTCTAAATTTTACCCTCGGGTGGCTGACGAAAGGTCTGCGCCACCTTCTTCATCTAAATTTTGCCCTTGGGTGGCTCACAAAAGGCCTGCTATCTCGGAATGGTGCCTTCCTCTTCAAATTTATTGTCAGGTGGCTCACACATGGTCTGCTACCTTGGAATGACACCTTCCGCCCCCAACTTTTCCTTTCGTGTGGCTCACAAAATGTCTGTCACCCTTTTCCTCTAGATTTTACCCTCCAGTGGCTGACAAAAGGCCTGCGCCGTTGGAAAGGCGCCTTCTTCATCTAAAAATTATAGGACCGGATAACCCCACATGTGAACAACTTCGAAGGATTGAGGCTGCAGGGGTAAAGTGCGGAAGAGTGAGCGTGGGGAAGAGACAGGCGAGACAGATATAAGGCGTGAGGGTCTCTGTGTGTACGTGAGGTGTGTGTTTGTGTGTATGCGCTTGTTCGTCAGTGTGTATCAGTGTGTGGGTGGATGTATGCTGCTTGGCGCTTGTACTAAAGTTGTACTAGAAAGTCGCCAGTTCTCATCTTCCAGCTCCCCAGATACTCCGCGTACTAAAGTTGTACTACAAAGTCGCCGTTCTCAGCTTCCAGCTCCACAGATTGCTCCGCGCACTAAAGTTGTACTACAAAGTCGCCAGTTCTCATCTTCCAGCTCCACAGATTGCTCCGCGTACTAAAGTTGTACTACAAAGTCGCCAGTTCTCATCTTCCAGCTCCGCAGATACTCCGCGTACTTAAAGTTGTACTACAAAGTCGCCAGTTCTCATCTTCCAGCTCCGCAGATTCTCCGCGTACTAAAGTTGTACTACAAAGTCGCCAGTTCTCAGCTTCCAGCTCCACAGATGCTGCGTGCCTGGCACGAAATCTGCACATGGAGGTTCACAAAGTGCTGTGCCTGCCACGAAATCTGCGCATGGAGGTTCACAAAGGGCTGTGCCTGCCACGAAATCTGCACCGCGAGGTTCACACAGTGCTGTGCTTGCCACGAAATCTGCACATGGAGGTTCACACAGTGCTGCGCCTGCCACGAAATCTGCGCATGGAGGTTCACACAGTGCTGCTGTGCCTGCCACGAAATCTGCGCATGGAGGTTCACAAAGTGCTGTGCCTGCCACGAAATCTGCGCATGGAGGTTCACAAAGTACTGCGCCTGCCACGAAATCTAAAGTTGTACTACAAAGTCGCCAGTTCTCATCTTCCAGCTCCCCAGATACTCCGCGTACTAAAGTTGTACTACAAAGTCGCCAGTTCTCATCTTCCAGCTCCCCAGATACTCCGCGTACTGAAGTTGTACTACAAAGTCGCCAGTTCTCAGCTTCAAGCTCCCCAGATTGCGCCGCGTACTAAAGTTGTACTACAAAGTCGCCAGTTCTCAGCTTCCAGCTCCACAGATTGCTGCGCGTAGTAAAGTTGTACTTGGACCCTGCCCCCCCCCAGTAACAGTCGCAAAATGCTTTCCCTACTAAACTTACTAAGAGAAAAAGCACCAGAAATCTCAAACTGAAATCAGGCCACTTCAACAAGGTACCATCTTCAATTGTGATTTGAAGTTTGAAGGTTTAGAACCCTGTCATCTCATCTCATTCATCTCATCTCATTCACTCCCGAAGGCCCTCTCATCTCATTCACTCCCAGTCTTTCACCAACCTGATGTTGAGTTACATTGCACTGGGTTACATCTACTACCATTACTACCACTACTATTACATACTACCAGACTAGTACACCCAAAAGCTATGAATATATTATATACTAATATCACAAATATCCTTAATTTATATTGCATCGTATGCATGGGCTGCATGGGCATGTCTCGCAGGAGACACTCACATGGCTCATGGAAATTCTTTGCCCATGCCACGCACAAGGTCGAAGAACCTGCCAGGCAGGAGACCCCCCAACCCCCTCAGACCCCCCAACCCCCTCCCCCAGGGCCACCCCCGGAGTCCCAGGACCACCGGTGTTCTGATCCACCGTTTCCGCGGGGACAATCTTCGGAGCACCAATCCCGCTTTCAAAATCTCGTGCGCTTTCTCGTGCTTTTCTCATGCATTTTTCGTGCTTTTTTGGTGCCTTTTCTCGTGCTTTTTTGGTGCCTTTTCTCGTGCTTTTTGGTGCCTTTTCTCGTGCCTTTTCTCGTGCTTTATTCGTGCTTTTTTGGTGCCTTTTCTCGTGCTTTTTTGGTGCTTTTCCCGTGCTTTTTCTCGTGCCTTTTCTCGTGCTTTTTTGGTGCTTTTCCCGTGCTTTTTCTCGTGCCTTTTCTCGTGCTTTTTTCGTGCTTTTTTGGTGCCTTTTCTCGTGCTTTTTTGGTGCCTTTTCTCGTGCTTTTTTCGTGCTTTTTTGGTGACTTGTCTCGTGCTTTTTTGGTGCCTTTTCTCGTGTTTTTTCTTGTGCTTTTTTGGTGCCTTTTCTCGTGCTTTTTTGGTGCCTTTTCTCGTGCTTTTCCCGTGCTTTTGTTCAAATACAAGCTTGGGAAGCCCGATCCTGATCTGCAATCTCGTGCTTTTTCTCGTGCTTTTTTGGTGCTTTTCCCATGCTTTTTCTCGTGCTTTTTTCATGCTTTTTTGGTGCCTTTTCTCGTGCTTTTTTGGTGCCTTTTGTCGTGCCTTTTCTCGTGCTTTTTTGGTGCCTTTTCTCGTGCTTTTTTGGTGCTTTTCCCGTGCTTTTTCTCGTGCTTTTTTCGTGCTTTTTTTGGTGCCTTTTCTTGTGCTTTTTTGGTGTCTTTTCTCGTGCTTTTTTGGTGCCTTTTCTTGTGCTTTTTTGATGCCTTTTCTCGTGCCTTTTCTCGTGCTTTTTCTCGTGCTTTTTGGCGCCGGAAAAGCACAACTCCGGAGCCTGGAGGAGCATCAGAAAAGCACAACTCCGGAGCCAAAATTTGACCGGCCAGCCCAGGATCCAGCCGGGCTCGGGCAGCCGCAGCCCCAGCCGGACATTTACTTTAGTTGGCCCCAGCCGCCAGCGCCAGGCCCAGCCCTAGCCGGACATTTACTTTGCTAGTGGACCTCCCCAGAGCAAGCCAGCCCAGCCCAGCCAGCCCCAGGCCCAGCCCTAGCCGGACTTTTACTTTGCTAGCGGACCTCCCCAGAGCAAGCCAGCCCCAACCCAGGTTCAAGAAAGGCTTGGAGAAGACCAGGGCGCGCAGCCTTGCAAGGCTTTGTTGGCTTGGGCACAAGAGTGTGCCATGTAGAGCACCAAAGCAGTGGACCAGTGGCAAAGGTATGAAGGAGAAAAAGGTGCTGCCAACGTATAATGGGACTATTGAGTTTAGGTAGATGACTTTTCAAATTTAGAAACCCGCTTTTGGGGTCCAATTTTCTCGTGCGCTTGGTGGTGCCCATCTTTGTGCTCACTGTTAGTGGGCCGGGGCAATGTCCAAAGTTGTACTACAAAGTCGCCAGTTCTCATCTTACAGCCCCGCAGATACTCCGCGCACTAAAGTTGTACTACAAACTCGCCAGTTCTCAGCTTCCAGCTCCACAGATGCTGTGCCTGCCACGAAATCTGCACATGGAGGTTCACAAAGTGCTGCGCCTGCCACGAAATCTGCGCCGGTGCCCAGCCGACGCCAGACGACGCCAGGGCGTACATCCGACCCCTTGGCAAGCAGCAAAGTGCTGCGCCTGCCACGAAATCTGCGCCGGTGCCCAGCCAACGCCAGACGACGCCAGGGCGTACATCCGCCCTTTTGGCAAGCAGCAAAGCGCTGCGCCTGCCACGAAATCTGCACCGGCGCCCAGCCGACGCCAGACGACGCCAGACGATGCCAGGGCGACCCCTTGGCAAGCAGCAAAGCGCTGCCCCTGCCACGAAATCTGCGCCGGTGCCCAGCCGACGCCAGACGACGCCAGGGCGTACATCCGACCCCTTGGCAAGCAGCAAAGTGCTGCGCCTGCCACGAAATCTGCGCCGGTGCCCAGCCAGGGCGTACATCCGACCCCCTGGCAAGCAGCAAAGTGCTGCGCCTGCCACGAAATCTGCGCCGGTGC